TTATACTTTATCAGTGTAAAATGTAAATGTAAGTAACATAAGGTAAACTAAACAAGTGGTGTGTTGATTTGAGTATAAGTTGTTCACCTAACATTGAAAACAATTTTGATTTGATTTGATTTTTTTTTCTTATAGAAATGTTTTCAGTTTTGTTTTTTTTCTAAATTTATAAATTTCTCAATGGTTTGTCAATTTGTGACACGGTTACGTCAGGGTTGTGTCAATACGATACTTTATTTTTATTAAATTACTTTCATTCGATTTTTTTTTTTTTAATTCATTTCATGTTTTATGATTAATCATTTGTTTTTAATATTTTATATTTATCATTTGCTGATGTGGAAAATAAGAAGAAACTTGCAATTACGTTTGCGTCAAGGTTGCGTCAGATTTGCGTCAGAATTGCGTCAAAATTACGTCAATGTTTGAATAATTTGACTTTTTTTTTTCCTATAGAAATGTTTTTCGTTTTTTGTTTTCTTTTTTTAAATTTATAAATTTATCAAAATTTTGTCAATTTGTGACATGGTTACGTCAGGGTTGTGTCAGTACGATACTTTATTTTTATTAAATTACTTTCATTCGATTTTTTTTTTTTTTTTAATTCATTTCAAGTTTTACGATTAATAATTTGTTTTTTTTAATATTTTATATTTATCATTTGCTAATGTGGAAAATAAAAAGAAACTTGCAATTACGTTTGCGTCAAGGTTGCGTCAGAATTGCGTCAGAAAATTACGTCAATGTTTCAATAATTTTTCTTTTTTTTTTTTTTTATACAATACCTTATTTATAGAATACAGAAATAATTTGAATAAATTTCTCTTAATTAGGATAAATATTCCAATTAATATAATTTAGGGATGAATTGAAATCAAAAACAAATTACCATAAATAAAAACAATTGTTTTATCGAAATAAACCAATAGAAAAACACAGATTTTTTCATTTAAAATTTAAACAGAAAAATGTGTATAGCAAAAAAGAGAAAAATGTTTTGAACGTTCACGTGGTTCACCTTTACGATTTAGATTTTTTTTTTCAAATTTTCTACAGATTTCGATTGAAAATGTCTTTCTCTCTCTCTCTCTCTTTCTCTTTGTTATTTTCAAGAGAAGAAACTTTCACACAAAAGCTAGAATGGAAACGTTCCTTTTGTAACGTGATAGGTCGTACTTTAAAAAAATAAAAAAAAATAAAAAAAAATAAAAAAGGCATCACTCGTTTTACCTTTTCCAAAAATAAGAATATAATATTTCAAAGTTGAGATTTTTTTTTTCTTTTGCTTTTTTAAAATCTCTCAATTTTCCAAAGAGGACACAAATGATTTTTAGTAAAATATGATGAACATTCCAACCCCACTCCTACTCCTCCTCCCATCCACCTACACATACACACAGACTCGAATATTTAAGAGATTGCATTTAATTTATGAAAATTAATTTCGCAAAATTGTTTTACTCCTTTAAATATACATTTTTTTTTTTTTTTTTTTTTTACATTGAAATAAAAATACAATTAATAGTAAGATTATTATCATTAGTATGTTGTAAAAAAAAAATAGAAATGACGTATTCAATCAGCGCATAGATGAAGAAACTTTATGTTGAAGCAAATTATCGTTGATTTATCGATGAACATTTACAATAATTTCACTAAGTACTTGCTAACTTATGCGTATAGAACTTGTCTATGTATTATAGATAGATAGATAGAGAGATAGATAGATAGATAAATAGATAGATGTATGTGTGTGTGTGTGTGTGTGTGTGTGTGAAGCAGGAAGTAGGCGATAGACGTTCACGTTGTCGAACATTTCGAACTGGTGTGGGGGTACTCTCGGTGTTGTAATC